ACAGGCGGCGGCAGCTGCCTGATCCGCCCGGGCCTCAAGTCCTTCTTCCGGCTTGAAATACCTCTGCATACAAAACCGATGTATCCATTCATTATTTCAATAAAAGACTTGCCCAATGAAAATGTTGTGCGAGAGAGACTTACCCAAAAATCCGCCAGTACCCGCTCCTGCTTGTTACGGTACCTGTCGTCAGGGGCCAGCTGGTACCTGTCCCACGTGTAGGCCGGCTCCCGCACGTCCTCGGACACGTTCACAAGGCTGGGGTACCATTTCCTACACAAAACACCAAGGATGCTCGCGGGGGAGCGTGCAGGAGTACCCGACAAAACCAACCAGGCCCTGCACAAGTGATTAAGAAAATTTATCAGTTCCTCTTTTGATTTCCAACATTATCATATGAAGTAGTTGTGATAACATCTATAGTTACTTACCTCTTTGCCATAGGGCGAATCAGTGCCCGGTTGCGAGGAAGCGGAGGCTAAGGGAGGCTCGCGGGACCTCGCTGGTAGATAGTCGGGGTAGCGGAACTGTCGCCCTCGGCGGCCTCGTCCTCAGCTGCCTCGTCCTTAGTCTATCGGACGTCCTCGTCCTCGACCTCATCCTCGGGCGTGGCCGTCACGTGCTCCTCCTCCATCACCTCGTCTGAAGGTGGCGGGGAAGGAGTCCGCTGCCTCCTGCTGACCCTGGTCCTCCTCCTCTGATCTCCTGTGGACGCTACCCCTGACCCCGACCCCTCGTCTGAAATGGGAGGGCGTGGTCTCCCGTAAAGGGAGGCCGTCTCACGTCATGGACGGCTGCTCGCCATCACCTGCAATCACAAAGAATGAACAAGACTTATTAGTATATATATTAGAAATAGATTCAAAATAAATAAAGAAAACACAAACTAAAACAAACGTAGTATTACATGTATTAGGAATAATCTTCATGATTAGGATCATAGGTGTCATCATGACTGTCAAAATTGTCCAAATGGGCAACACTATCTGAAGGTTCTATGTTGTCTTCGTCGTCATTGCCTAGCCTTAATCGGTCAAGCATTTCTATGTCCTTGGCATTTTGCACCACATCTCCATCAACCTCGTCATCCTCCATTTCGTTGTCTACTTCCATTTCGATCACTTCGGGTAATACTATCTCAAACATGCCTGGTAGCCCATCTTCTTGATAGAACTGTCCATCATATGTGTTTGCGTTGAAGTTGTAATCGTCATCGTTTGGGGCAGGTAGTTTACCGTGTGGAGACACCTGGTGCACAATAGCCCAACCCTTAAGATCCGCTTTGTCTTGGTTGGCATATCGCGTATAGTACACCTGCATGGCCTGTTGAGCCATAATGTAGACATCTTTTCCTGGATAGACGGAATCTTCTCGAATCTCGACTAGCCCAAGATGAGGGGTCCGTCTCGTTTCTCGAGGATTAAACCAGTGGCATTTGAACACGACAGGTTTATGTTTGTAACCATGAAATGAGAGTTCATAGATTTCCTCAACTCTACCATGATAGTCGAGGCCATCAGTGCCGGGCGTACAAACTCCGCTATTTGTGGTTTTCCGTTTGGGCCGAGTCTGCTCATATCTTGTTGTGTGGAAGCGATATCCGTTCACATCATAACCGGTAAATGACTGCACCCTAATGTCATAGCCGCCTACAACCTGTCTCAACTCCTCACTCATGGACGAGTCAGTCTGGGCCTGCAAGCTCAAGCATGATAGGTCGTTATATTAATCAAACGAATGAGAAACTTGGAATATGGAACGTGGGAGCTAAATTGGACATTACCTTTTGTTTGAACCAAGAAATGAAATTAGGCCTCCCCGCACCCGCACCCCGAGAAAGAAGGGTGTCATGTTCCCGTGAGGTAGGATCCCTTGATTGATGCCAGGACTCACGAACAAATTCCTTGTCTGAACGAGAATCAGTGGGGTTGCATGAAGAATATTCAGGGCGTATTGAAACAAGTTCATTGAGAACTTACTCGATGAACGACTGCACCTCGGGAAGGCTGGTCAACACATATAGCATGACACTTCGCCACTCTTCATTTCCCAATATTTTATTGGTCGATCCACTTGCGCTGCCGAGTTGGCCTTGGAACAGGCTGTGGGTCCATTCATTTTTGCCAACATTGTAACGAGGGAGTGGATTATGATTGCTAGGAAGTTTTGGCTTGTAGTATAGTGTTGTGAAGTTTGCCACCTCCTCCCTTAGACTTGCCTCTGCAATGGAAGCCTCAATTCAGGCTTTATTTGTACATTTCTTGCGAAGAGTCTTTAGACATCTCTCGATTGGATAGCACCACCGGCTTGCACGGGCCCCCCCAAACGTGCCTCGGACGGGAGGTGCACAATCAGATGCTGCATGGGCAAGAAGAAGCCGGGTGGAAAGATCTTCTCCAGCTTACAGAGCAACACAGGTGCCGCTTTTTTCAAGTCCTGAGCGACGGTCCGAGATATCTCCTTGGCACAAAGCTGATGGAAGAAAAAGCTCAACTCTGCTAGCACTTGCCAGACATGGTCAGGGACATAGCCTCGGACCATCGCCGGAAGAAGCCGCTCAATCCATATGTGGTAGTCATGACTCTGTCTGGGTTTTATTCATCTGACGTCGCAACTTGCTCGAAACATTCTCAATTTTTTCCCACAGCCTACACATGCGATAACATGACACCTCGACAAGTTTCGTGATTTTCGGACTTCGTATGGACTTTATATAATTTTAAAACACTTTTCCGGCAAGTGGCTCGTCATGTTACGTGAAGAAGATGCGCGAAATTTGATGCGAGTTCGTGGATAGAGACTTAACATACACCAAATACCATGAATAACATTTTTTGAAGCACTAGATTATAATATTCCATGCACTTGCAGTTCAAATTTGAATTATATATAAAAATTCAACATAATCAAATTAATCAACCAAATATAACAAAAAAACCTAGAAAAAGCACCAAATTTGAACATGAAGTTGTAAACAATGTAGGCGGGCCCAACAAAAAATTTGGGGTCAAAAAAACAAAAAAAATTGAAAATTTGCCGAGTGCCAGCTTGGCACTCAGCAAAGACTGTCTTTGCCGAGTGCTGGGCCAGGAGTACTCGGCAAAGAATTTTTTAAAAGAAAATTTTCAAAAACGGTTAAAAAGTCTTTGCCGAGGGCCTAACGGTGATGCCCTCGGCAAAGATTGACGGCAGGGGATGGACGTCGTGTCAGGCAGTGTTGCCGAGGGCCGGCGGCAAAGAATTATTGTTGCCGTGTGCTTGTCTTTGCCGAGGGTCTGGCCCTCGGCAAAGAGTCTTTGCCGAGGGCTGTTCTTTGCCGAGTGCCCGAGCATTTTCCCTCGGCAAATCCTCAGGCCCTCGGCAAAGATGCTCTGTCGGTAGTGGGAGCGAGCGCTCCAGTCGGAGAGGTGGGCCGGAGTAGGAAGACGGGTGTCGTTCCTCCTCGGCCAGACCTTCCGGTCGGTGATTGGATTGTCCTTCTGTCCTGTTGTTTAGGTACCTAGGCCGGCCCACAAGTTGCGTGTTGTCTGTTTGGGCCGAGCCTCTGTTGGGAAGCCGCTCCGCGAGGGACCCTGGGTATATGAACCCGACAACTTTAGTTCAAAATTTAGTTAAGCCATGGAAGCAATGTTTTAAATTTTAGAGTCCTACTTATATACCTAATCACATCGGTTTGCATAAAGTAGTGGACAATCATACGGAACCATCTCCAATAATTTTTAGTTAGTTTCGCTAATTTTCAAGGTGTGTACACAATATTTTTAATTCTAGGGTCCAACTTTCGATGTAGGTCCCAATTATATACCTAGTCACACGAGTATGCAAAAAGTAGTAGGCAATTATACTAAATCATCTACAACAAATCATTTTAGTTAATATTTAGGGTGCAACTACGAGATTTTTAATTCTAGGGTATGACATTCGACATGGGGACCACGTATATATCTAGTCATAGCTGTCTGTACAATGTTTGATCAATTTCACTAAAATGTTAAGGGGTGAACACAAACTTTTAAATCATGGGTCCAACTTTTGACATAGAATACCTCTAGCTGAGTTGGTTAGGTGGTCTGAGTAGCACTTCTCCGATCCTAAGTTCGACTCCTGTGGGAGTGAAAAGATCTCCTCGTCTGTCCCACACCAACGCACAGGTCTAAGGCTCGGCCATGGTCGTAGTCGTTCTCATATGGGCTATGGCACCGTTGTGTATAGGTGGGGCAGAGGTTCGGGGCAATACCCGGGGCTGTGTGCCCCATAGTTTTTCTTATTATTGGATCATATTAGATGGATTTGGACTTGAGCAATTGGATTGGACATTTAATCATTTTGTATTAGGAAAGGTTTGGATTTAGATTTTTTTCCCTTGGATTTATCTATATGGATTTTTTTCCTTTGCCACCTCTACTTACCGGTGCAAAAGTCTTGACCATCAATAGTTTCGATATATTTCCCATTGTAATTAAGATGATGGAGACGAGCACAAGTTGACGGACAGACCAGTTTTTTTCAGGCCGGAACTACGGTGACGGTTGATGTAAAATTCTTCAGAGCCGTTTTACACCCTATTTTTCTTGTGAAATGGTAGAAAATCAGGACTTTGATTGTAGCCAGTCATCCTTGTGATGAATGATATATATATGACAGCAGATGGCGACCGCAAAACAGATTAAACTGAAACCACCACCCGTTTGGCATTATATTGCTTTGATTCGGTCTCACCGCATTATAGGTGGAGCCTGGTCAATTAGCCAAATGTGAGCAAAAACATTGTTCTAGTTGCATCTCATAGCTTCGTTTCATTGGTGCCGAATCGAGGATGGTGCAGAAACGAGGTCATAGCCTAGGTTTGCACGTCGCATTGTAACCGCTAGATTTGGATTCACTTGGTTCATGGCGTCAAGAACAATGGCATGAGTTGCTACAAATGGCATGCCCCTGCTGGTGCTGGGTGTGGGTTATTGCGCTCTCACTTCAGTTTCTGCTGGGCGACACAGGAAGAAATGTTGTCAAGAGATCGTCTTGGTTGTGTATGGACGGCCAAGATTGTCTTGCTATTCTCTTTGTCGAGTTTGAGCTTCATTGCCGTTAATCATGCCCAGCTTGATAATCACGGTAAGCAGTGTGAAGCTCTGTCCTCTGGTGTTAATTTCCATTGTTATATAATCTTGAAAAAGGTTCTCTCTTTTTACCATGTACACTTATATCTAGTATATCAAGAAATGGAGAAATGAAGAATTTATAATGTCAAATCAGAGCATAGGGATCGATTTATTAATTTCTGTTACAGGCTTATTACACACTTAAGACAGCTACATTGTGACGCTTACATTCTTACTAAGAAAACATGTCTCTCTCTTGGTTTTTTGGTAGGCTTTATAAGCATTGACTGTGGATATACTGAAAGTCCGAAGTACACAGATGACAAGACAGGCATAACATATGTGGCTGATTTGGGTTTCACAGACGCAGGGTTGATCCACCCTGTGTACCCGGAGAACATGCAGCCTGATCTTGCTGCTAGGTACAATAACATACGCTACTTCCCCAACGGGACACGCAATTGCTACACGATAAGGTCCCTAACACCTGGTGCCAAGTACCTAGTGAGGGCTATCTTTGGCTATGGGAACTATGATACACTAAACAAGCTCCCTATATTTGATCTCTATCTTGGGGTCAACTACTGGACCACAGTGAGGATCGTCAATTCAAGTACAGCATACATATCTGAGACGATCTCTGTGTCCCCTGCTAACTACATGCAAGTCTGTTTGGTCAACAAAGGGTCTGGAACTCCTTTCATTGCCGGGCTTGACTTGAGGTTTCTGCAGCCAAATCTTTATCCCAATTCCACTGAGACGCAATCTCTAGTTTTGCTCAGTTTTTTCCGTACCACCGTTAGTTTTGGGTCTAATCGCTACCACTTTGGAACTGACCTTCGTCACATTAGGTAACCTTAAGCTTATACAACTTCTCTTTAACCTATGTTATAGACAAAGCTTTTAACAGAGTTCAATATAATGTTTGTTTTTGGTTTGTAAGGTTCCCAGATGACCGCTATGACAGGATATGGCAGAGGTATGAAGAAGTTCCTACCTGGACAATAGTGCCTGATGCTATCAGTGGGAACGTCACGAACGCTCCAAATGACACCTATGATGCACCATCTGCAGTAATGCGTAGTGTATCCACTTTGGTGAATTCATCAACAATGGATCTATATTGGAATTTGGATGGATCTATGAGTGTTGATTTCAATGATAAGTACTTCGTTGTGCTCTATTTTGCTGAGGTGGAGACTTTACAGCAGAACGAGTTTCGGCAGTTCGATGTGCTACTGGATAATACCACATTAGCTAATGGTTTCAGGCCAGAGCAAATGACGACTACAGTTCTTACAGGCACTGTGCAAGGATCAGGAAGTCATAGCATATCCCTTGTGCCAGATTTAAACTCCAAGCCACCATTGATTAGCGGGATGGAGATATTCTTGGTTCGACCCCTGAATGAATCTGCCACTGACTCTGGAGATGGTATATCCTTATCTACTAGAACTGATATATTTTTCTCCCTTGGGTATCCACATCATAATTAGTTATTAAGACACAAACAAACTTGCTAATAATACAGGTATAATGAGAAGTTTGTTTGTCATTGCTACCCAAGAACTTATACACTTGGAGTAAATACTTGTAAACATTACACTTTGCGCTTAACTCCTAAATACTTTAGCTCTCACCCTGCTATGGAGAAGTATAAGCCACTGTAGGTAGCTTCTTAGTCCCATAAGCCACTTTGTCTGATTGAAAATCACGTTTACACGTATAATTTTGATGGTAACAATCTATTAGCCATTGGCCGCCAAGATTGACTCTATTTTTTCAAATAGATTACTAAGATTAGTTATAGGAGCTAGATATTTTGGTATAATGATCACAAGGACTATAAAAATGATAACAAACAATTGTTTTTTTTTTGGTATGCATTGAAGTGAAAGTACTGTTGCTGTAATTTGTATGTAAACATTATGTTTACCATTTTCTAGCCAGTGCATGAACTAAAATGAGTCAATCAAGGGATATTAGTAAGTCCAATAGACCAGTATCTTATGAATATTACCATCTAGTATTTTGGATAACTGTGCATCTAAACTGGTTTCAGCATGCATGCATTTTCTTGTTCAATTATAAGCGCTTGACTAAACTTTTGATGTTCTTGATGACCTTTTTCAATGTTTTTATTCTCTCTTAATTAGCAACTGCAATGATGACCATCCAGACAAAGTTTTCCGTTAAGAGAAACTGGGCAGGAGATCCCTGTTCCCCCATAGCTTTTGCGTGGGTTGGCTTGAACTGTAGCTACACTCCCAGTGCTCCATCGAGAATAACTGCCTTGTAAGTTCTAAACGAACAATTTCACTTGATTCATATGCTTTAAAGTATCATGCAGAGTTATTACATGGAAACTTAATAGAGGAAAAGAAAAAAAATGGGGACTTCAAATTTTTGTGATTGGTTTAACATTCCCTGCAGATATATGTCATCTAGCGGATTAATCGGTGAAATTGATCCATCCTTCGGTCAACTAACATTGCTCCAGCACTTGTATGTCCTTTACAGTTTCAAAATTTGTCCCAGAACAGCGATTTATTGAATTGTATATTTATGCCTTGTTTAGTTGGCGAATTTTTTTGGGAAATGGTACTATAACACTTTCGTTGTTATTTGGCAATTAGTGTCCAATAATAGTCTAATTAGGCTTAAAAGATTCGTCTCGTGAATTTCGTCTAAACTGTGTAATTAGTTTTATTTTTTATTTATATTTAATGCTTCATGCATGCGTCCAAAGATTCGATGTGACGGGGAATCTTGAAAAATTTTGCAAAATTTTGGGAACTAAACAGGCACTTAGTCATTGAAAATTAGCTCTTGTTGACAGTGGATTTCAACACATATATATTTGATATTAAAAGATAATGAATAGATTGCTTTTTCTTCATTGAGGAGCACATGTGTTTTTAGATCATTCAATTGTATCAGGTCTTATATTATCTTTTATATGTTTATTTAAACTCCCATATTGAACCTGCTCAATTTTGCTATTATATTTGATACTAAAAGATAATTTAAACAGCAACTTTCACTCTTTTCTCCCAAAGAAAATATTCAATTACTTTGACAGAAATGAGAAGCCATTTTCCTATGTTTATTTTTAAACTCTTAAACTGAACTAAGTTTTTTATTTTTTTTCTACTATATTTAACATAAAAATACTTTGTATTGCAACTATGAAGCTTTTTAAGGCCAACTTAAACTCTTAAATGCATGAGGGTGCAAAAAGATAGTTGATTTCATTTTTTTGATGTATGAGTAGTGAGAAAATAGGTATAAGTGGATTTTTGGATTAACCTTTATGTAATGGAAGTGGCTAGAAATTCTTAAATAATGGTTATGTTGGTAACGGAGAAACATGTATAAGGGTTTCTAGGCTAATACACTGGTAGTTGTTGATAATTCATCATGTAAGGGGTTACTTCTCTTTCATCATATTAACATGATAATTTCTAGATCTTGCGAATTAACATGTAGGCTTCATTTATTATACAAATAACCAGGATAATAAATTACTGTTAAAGCCTAGGGAACTGGAAGATCACAGGGAAATACACAGCCTCAGTATGCCCTACTTTTGCCATGTTTCATGAGATGATCATGTCATCTATCTATTTTGCACATGTTGGATATACCATATATAGGTGTAAGCTTCTACTTGTCCAAATTGGTGGCAATGATATTCAAGTATTCCCATGTCCAAAAGTTTAATCTACTGAAAATACCTTTTGTACTTATACTTCAACACTTGTTTTTGAGTGTTTCATTTTGCTTTTTGTGATTTCCAGGGATCTGTCTCACAACAATCTGACTGGACCAATACCTGATTTTCTAGGTCAACTGCCATCACTTTCATTTCTGTAAGCTTTCCTGCTGATCGACCTGCATACTGTAATACTGCTCAAACTCCTCTTTTTATGTTTACTTTCTCGTGTTTTGTAGGGATTTGTCCAGCAACAACCTCCGTGGATCAATACCTAATAATCTGCTACAAAGATCTCAGATAGGAGTGCTGACACTAAGGTTCACACGGTTGCACCTGCTTGCCATTTATCTTTTGTATTGTATCACTTTATGGAATCTGTTAATAGCACTTAATATATCACTAGCTTGCAAAAAAGAATGTGCATGGTTTCCAAATCCCATTATATGTATATCATTTGATTCATATGTTTCTTAAACTATATATACCATTATTAGCCTAGCCCCCTGATGCAGTGTAATTTATTATATATATATGTGTGTGTGCGCGCGCGCGCGTGCGGGTGTGTCAGTGTGTGTGCGTGCGTGCGTGTGTGCGTGTGTGTGGTATCTCCGAATATTAATTTATTTTTATTGTAGTACTGCCAGGGATAATGTTTATTTATACGACATGATGGGAAATAAGAGAGTGAGAGGGCTGTTTTACTGAAAAGAGGCCACTTAGTAATTTAATCTCTCCATTTACTGCTTAAGTCTGCCGGAACTGTAGTTTAGCCTTCCCCTCAATTGCATACTTGATTCTATATATATATGGAACTATGGATGATGAGGGGTCTCGTGTTCATAAATTTCAATATTGATCAGTAGCTAATACATGTATATTACATATTCTAATAATAGCCAGGCTAACTATCATATAGTATTCGTTTCAAAAAAAAAAAATCATATAGTGAAGTCAGGACTCTATAACACAGGATCTTTGCAGCAATTGGTGAACACGTTTTTATCACTTCATTCTAGTCTAGCTATTTATATACAATCTTTCACAAATTAATATTGTGTTTGCTAGGGTTGACAACAATCCAAACCTATGTACAAATCATAATTGTGACCCCATTCGAAACCCGAGGAAGCGCAAGGCAATACTTATAGCTGAGATTATGGCTCCAGTTGCTGGAGCTATTATCATTGTTGCTGTAGTTCTACTCATCATTTGGCATAAAACAAAGAAAAGACAAGGTAAATAAGATAGCTATGCTTAATTATGGTAGTTTTTAACTGCGCCAGATTTTTTTTTTATCATTGTATGATTACCCTTTGATATCGACTTGCATATAATAGCTAAAACATATGAAAAACTATTATTATGTGGTCAGGTGGGGCTCGTGCTTCTAATCCATTCGAGAGCCGAAGATTCAAGTACAAGGAACTCAGAGTCATCACAGATGACTTTAAAAACATAATTGGAAAGGGTGGGTTTGGCTTTGTCTACAGTGGCAAGCTGGAGGATGGAACTCCTGTTGCTGTCAAGATGAGGTCTCAAACATCGTCACAAGGGAATACAGAGTTTTTGGCTGAGGTGCACATGCATTGAACTGCTGATTCTGTAGATTACTAATTGTGTGGTGTATCATTACTAATGTTGTGCACACCAATTAGCAGGATATATATGTTGGTCATCATATAATTTCTGAGAAATATTATATATATTGCAGGCCCGGCACTTAGCCAAGGCTCATCACAAAAATCTGGTGACCTTAATTGGCTATTGCAAGGATCGGAAACATTTAGGTCTTGTTTATGAATACATGGGTGGTGGAAACCTAGAGAACTGGCTGAAAGGTTTGTAATCTTGCACTATATCTACATTAGTACAAAACTAAATCCACGTCCAATGAAATTTTTTGCACACAATACCTATATGAGTACAAAACTAAATCAACCTCCAATGATTGTTAGTGATTCACCAAAATAACTAGAGAGCTTACGAAGGTTGAAGATTTAAACATCAATTTTTTACCAGTCACAACATGCCATTTTATGTGTTGAACTTATTAGGTAAGTTGGGTCGGGTACATATTTACTAGTGTATTGGGTGAGAAGGGGTTTAGTCATAGTTTTGGGCTTGGGCTTGAAAGAACTAATTTGGTGCGGGTTGCGGAATATGGGGAGAGTTCGATCACATTAGCAAGCCTAATAAATGCCATGGACCATGGTCTAAAGGAATAAGAGAGTGTTGGGACTGTAAGCTAGAACATAAATGCCATGAGAGAATGTTACGGACGAAATAGGCTGACTCTTCCATGAATAACATGATACAACCAACCCTCAATTTATTATAATGAAAATATACATTAATTTGAACTTGCACTGGAGTAGGCTAGCAGCAAATCATTTTACTAGATTCCCCTGTTTTGTTTGCAGGCAAGGAAGGTTGTATGCTAACTAGATTCCCCTGTTCTGTTTGTAGGCAAGGAAGGTTGTCATGCTGAATTCAACCTAACTTGGCTACAACGCCTTAAGATTGCGTTGGACTCTGCCTATGGTATACAAAAGTTTTTTTTGCCAACATGGGCAGCGGCCCATCTGTGTTCAGGATATTAATTCCACACCACAGATCTAACTTTGTATGGTTTTCATCCATGTTTAATGATCCATGCTTGTAGGACTGGAATACTTGCACAAGTCATGCAGCCCTCCTTTAATACACAGAGATGTGAAGACCCAAAACATCCTTCTAACTTCAAACCTGGAGGCAAAGATAGCTGATTTTGGGTTGACAAGGGCTTTCAGTAGCGAAACAAAGACACACACTACCACCCGTCCAGCGGGTACTCTTGGATACTTAGACCCTGAGTATGCATTCTTTTGAGCCTAGTATTTTACCATTCCAAGGGAAGTCATTGTGCACGTCAATATTTTGAAGATTCTAATGTAACTGTTTACCATGCGTAGATATTATAACACCTCACATTTGAGCGAGAAGAGCGATGTTTTCAGCTTTGGCGTTGTTCTCTTGGTGCTCATCACTGGCCGTCCAGCTATCATCACTGTGAACAACACTGAAAGAACCAACCTTGCGCATTGGGTGCGGGGGAGACTCTCTGAAGGAGATATCGAGAATGTTACTGACCCAAGGATAAAGGGGAATTTTGATGTCAACTCCCTATGGACGGTTGCGGAATTGGCTCTTCGTTGCACAGAGCAGGCAGGAAAGGACCGCCCCACAATGTCTGAGGTTGCGGAGGGATTAAGGGAGAGCCTGCAACTGGAGACCTTGTCACACTCCAAGAGGAGTGGTTCAATTGGGACCAATGGTTCAGCGCTCACTGAAACTGAATCTGTTGGTGCGCTGGAGTCAGAACAGATTGAAGAAACTCTACCCCGGTGACATTGCAGCTGAATCACCCACGTCTTTATGTACTGATGTTTATGTACTATATGCAATCTTTTTCTGCTCACGGAAATACATAACTATGACTTTGTATAATATTTGAGAACTATTCAAGTACTCCTGGTCAACAATGAGGGGGCTCTCTGTTCCTTGAACCCACAACCTGTAACATGACTGTGCTTGTCATGACTGCAATCCCAAATACAAGAAATACTCTTATATAAGTCAATTTTCAGCAAAGATTCTAAAAAGAAATGTCATACATTTATTAGGAAGCTTTCAAACTAGTTAACTAGTTCAATGCATATATTTTTAAGAGCCCAACAAGTAGAGCATGAGAATCTAAATATCAAATTCTCTATAAACTTCACATAGTGAAACACAAGCAGTAATAATTCAGCAAAGCTCACATGGCATACTTGTTTAAGGGCAGCTGCAGTAGATGTAACATAGTATAGCACACAAGTAGATGCCTCTGCAGAAGAGATCACCATGGTATAAATAGGGTTAGCACAAGTAGATGCCCCTGCAGATGGTTTGCGATTGACTAGTAGAAATTAAATGACAGGCTTACTTGAACCATTCTGGTATACTAAGTTCCGAATACCATTAAATTTAAGGTCACACATCTGCAAGGCAAAAGCAAGTGGATTTTAATTTAAGGTCAATCATCTGCCATGATAATACTTAACAAGGCATACATTGCATATATTCAACTAACAGTAATGCAAGTAGTGTAGAACAAGGCATACATTGCATATATTCAACTAAAAGTTCCAAAAATCTGTTCAGGTGTATGAACTCATACACCACCATCAATGAATCTGGGTTGCTGCTGCTGTGAATGAACATCATAGAGGCAAATATTACTCTGAAGTGTGTAGATGAACATAACAGCTACATGAACTGCCGCAGGGACCAAACCAGGCAAACAAAGAAAAAATAACAGTAGTTCTCTGAACCTGAAAGTGGAACGAGCTGCTGCAGTTTAACTTTGAACACACGTCCTCATGGAGCTCCAAAAGTAAACCTGCAGGTTGAAAGATAATTGCGCTGCTGAAAGAGAAGCCCACCAGAAATAGCTACTAGAGAAAATCCAAACAAAAAGCACACGACTCAAGCTGTGCACTGGACAAATAAGACGCCTACTGCGGCACCGGCCTCCTGCGCCATCCCTGCCACTGTCGCTGAACTGGTACACCATGGATGTGGCCTCTCTACCATGGCGCCTAACGGATCTGGCGTCCCCATTGACCAGGCGAAGCCGTCAAGATCCAGGCCATTGCAGCTCAGATCCGAATAGAAATAGACAAGGGATTGGGTATTTTCACACAGCACGAAGGGAGTGATGGACCTCTGGTGATGCTCGGCGTCCCGCTCAGTAGGAAGAGGAGGGGCGGCGCCGGCCCCAGTCATCACGACGCGGCTGGCCCGGCGGCGGCGGCAGCATGGGTCGGGCGGCGCGGTGCTTGGGGGCCGGCGGCGTACATGGGAGGCTGAGGCACGGACGGCGCGGCTGGAAGGGGCGACGCCGGTAGCGGCCCAGCCGGAGGAGAGAGCAGGCGGGAGCAGGGGGAGGCGTCACGAGAGAAGGGACCGGGAGAGAGAGAGGGAGAGCCGAGGCAGAGAGAGGCTTCGTGAGGAAGAAGACATCGGCTGGTGGAAAACGCACATCCTATCCTCATTTTCATTTTTTATTTTCTTTTCTTTTTTAATGGTATAAACTGTGATATCAATATATGTTATATCAATGTACGACACCGCTTGGAATTCAATAAGAGGCATAAATTACACCCATGATTTGTGACGATTATGTTTATCTATCAGTGACACTATTTAATCATCCATCACATATTTTTATCAGCTAAGATACAAAACGTCACATAATAGAGCTTTTTATGATGGTTTCTTTTAACGTCACGTCTTAACCGTTATGTATAAGGATATTTCTCGTAGTACGCCCAAACTGTAACACAAAATAATAGAAAATGCCGAACCAGAAATTTTTTCATGATGCGATTTCATTCCTGGACGTTTATTTATTTTCAAGACAAATACATGTAGAGAATACATGCTAAGTCTCGAACCCAGGTCTTGATGCTGCCGCTGCATGTAGTCATTGCACTTGTTTGAAGTACCTTTACTCACCCGTTGCCACTTGGTCAGCTTCTGTGACACCCGGGGAGCACGGGCCCTGTTTGTTTGGCTTATAAGCGTTTTTTCAGCTAATAAATAATATTTTTCTTTCACAATAAATCAACCAATAGTACTTTCAGCCATGGCTTATCAGCCAAGCAAATAGGCCTTTCGTTGCACTCTGGACGTGGACCCTAAAAATTTCATGTTTTCAAAATAGCCTAAAATGATTTATTTAAATATTTTGTGAGCATGTGAACGTAGGAAAAATAATAATATTTATGAAAATAAAATTCACTTTAAGGCTAGATACATGTTTGTGCCATTATTTATTTTGTGGTGACTGGATTTTATTCAAAAGTCAAAAGGATTTCAAAATCTCTTTGAAATGGTATTCAAAAGTTTGGAAAACTAAAAAGAAAAGGATAAAATCTCACCTCTCTCACTCTCTTGGCTTTTGGCCCAGCAAGTAGCCAAGCCCAGCTCGCCAAGCTGCGCAGGCCCGCTCCTCCTCCCTCCTCCCTGGGCCGGATGGCCGAGGCCCAGCAGCGAGGCCAGCTCGCGCGCGCAGCGTTCCACCTCTTCCTTTGCTATCGCTGATGCACGGGGCCTACCGGTCAGGGTCATCCCCTACCTTGCTGTCGTACCCGATCGGGACTCTGCCCGACCCGGAGTCCGCCTCCTCCCCGTTTGGCGTGTCCTCCACGTTGAGCCGCCTTAAATAGCGAGCGCGTCCGCGTCCGCACGCTCCTCCCTCAACCCTAGTGCAAGCCGCAGCACCGCCGCCTCGCTCATAGAGCACTTTCCGCCGATCGTGATCTCGCCGATCTCGACGACAACCGCTGCCGCCAAAGACCTCACATGCTGCTTCATCGTCGCGCCTAGACGATCGTTGCCGAGTCCCTCCCTTCCCTGCCTGCACGAACTCAGCAGCAGCAGGCAACCTCTTTGCTATGGCCACGTACGTCCAGATGGAGGAGGCCAGAGGTACAAGATGATGTATTTACAGTTTTGCCACCGATCGTTAATCCTTTACCGTTTCATCGTCTTAACTCCGTTTCGAGCGATTCTAGTTGCGTTAGTTTCGTAATTTTGTGCTCTACGCAGTAGTAGTAAAGTTTATCATGTTAGTTAATTATGAATTTATTAACCTAATACTAATTACATTAATAATTAGTTAATGGTTTCCCAATTAAAAACAATCAGTTTAATTTCGTTCTTGTTCTTTTACGACCGTGCTGATCATGAGGTACACATTAGTAGGAAAATTTATCATGTTTCACATCTTTGAATTTTATAAGTAAATATTAATTTGATTTGTGCTTATGCAATTGAGTTTCTAACTAAAAGTAACATAGGCATATACTTCGGTCTTTTATAAATTATTGTAAATCTAATTAATGTGCAACTAGCTTTCTAAATTAATTAAAAGCAATATAGGTTTTCCATGTCGGCCTTAATAAATGAATATTAAACTGGTTATATCAATTTAAATATATGTTTTGATTATAATTTGTTTAGCTGAACCCACGTCATATTCAGTTATAGTGTAGATGCTCTTACATGTTCTTTTAATTTGAAAAGTTAAAGTTTATTTTGATTAAATAATACATGCACATCCGCTCCTTAATACATTATTAATTATTCCATTGATAAATCCTAAACTGATGTAATGCTTACATCATTTTGGTTTTCCTTTTAAAAATAATAAATGCAAGGGCTTATACGTGCTATATATGTTTTGAATATATACTCTCACTTGTTATTATATCTTTGTAAGTCAAAATTTAATTTGCATAAATGATATCAAAATAACTATAATTAAGATATGAATAGTTTATCTTAGTTTTCTAAATCTAATAACTCAAGTATAAAATGACTTAACTCAATTTAGATATTTCTCTGAGATATCTTATACATGTTTTATAATCATTAAAATAAATAAAGCATATCGATAGACGTTTTCGTTTCACCATAGGTCTGATTAGTGTGATTTTCGTGTTTGTGTGATCGCAGCAATGCGTAGGCTAGTTTTCAAACCTTTTTATTGATTGGTGTATTGTTCTAAATTTTCTATGTTTGCTATGCATGTTTGATCGGATGCTTGTGTGGTGTTCTTTGATCATGTCCAGTCGGTGAGATTTGCGTCGGTGATCTAGAACAAGTTGGTGAGCAAGAAGCAGTTCTTTGAAGGTTTCGACTTGAAGAAGGATCTGAGTTTAAGACAAGTATAGCTTGGGTTTTCTTTCTGTGGCCATGATCTTGGGCTTGTTTAATGAAATGTGGTATAAACATAAATGATGAATGTTATCCTTTGGCAAAAGCTGGGATTTACAGTACAATTGTGAGGGCTATATGGCTCTGGCTCTAGTTGCTTAAGAAAACCTTTTCTAGCTGGTTAGAGGTCTGCGAGTTGGGTATAGGACATCCTCTGTCCTATTGAGCCTAGCTTTGGAAGCGGCCTTTTACTTTATTTTTGGAAGGGGGTTCCTATATCTGATGACCCTGCGGCCCTGGCCGGTTAGACGAGCTCTTGGGTGGCTTTATATGGTTCTCTGTGTTTTGGGCATAGCTAACCCGGGCATACGAGAATCATGACTCACAGTGAAAGTGTACACCTCTGCGCAGAGTTTGATAAACTGGTATACTAGCCGTGCCTACGGATACGGGCGGCCCGGAAAACTAAGGGAATTGTTGTATGTTCATTTAAATTGTTTATGTGCAATTCATTACTCAATTACACTTGATCATGTGGTTATGGATTACAATACCTTGTTGCTATATTTGTTGAGTTCGACATGGACTCACTCTTGCAATTTCCCCCACACCTCAGGCTGGATAACAGTCTGTCAGAGACTTGAGAAGTTGGGCTTGTGATCAACCAGTCAGTTGGATCCAGTGGAGTGAAGTCTGCACCTGGAGTTCAGAGTTGTCTATCCGTTGATTGCTTTCTAAGGTTATCTCTTTTGCTAAGTTCGCTATATATTAAGCATTATGAATTGATACTGCCCCTTCATTTGTAGCTATATGTGAGATTTGATTTCCAAGGCTCACATATGGTGTGCATTCGGCTTTGTCCTTGAAACCGGGTGTTACAGGGGCTCTCTGTTCCTTGAACCCACAACCTGTAACATGACTGCGCTTGTCATGACTGCAATCCCAAATACAAGAAATACTCTTATACATGACGGTTTACTTTAGTCACAGACAAACAAAAACGCGTCACGGTTAATTTACCATGACGAACAAAAAAAGCGTCATGTATCCCGCATCATACATTTGCTGCCCAAATTGAGCCGTCACAGATTGGAATTTGTGCCCGTCATAGAGTGGCTGTCTGTATCTTATAACCAGCCCATATCCAAGCCCAGATCCAATCCATAGTGACGAAAAAGAACATCACTAACTAGTGCCAAATCATCATTGCACTAACATACATCCCAGCTCATAAGATACACCAATCATATAATCAACACATTGATCATTCATGTATTAGCAAGCCCACTGGTGTCACATTTTATCAAACTACGAATTGCCTGGCTCACAGCCAATTAGTTTGATTATCACAACAACTAAGTATGAACTAAGATTTCATCTATATGGAGTCTAAAATAACTAAACATTTGTATCCACGAGCACTTCAATTGGCTTGGGGTCCATAAGATGTGCTACCTGAAAACCAAAATGAATATAAGTCAATTTTCAGCAAAGATTCTAAAAAGAAATGTCATACATTTATTAGAAAGCTTTCAAACTAGTTAACTAGTTCAATGTATATATTTTTAAGAGCCCAACAAGTAGAGCATGAGAATCTAAATATCAAATTCTCTATAAACTTCACAGAGTGAAACACAAGCAGTAATAATTCAGCAAAGCTCACATGGCATACTTGTTTAAGGGCAGCTGCAGTAGATGTAACATAGTATAGCACACAAGTAGATGCCTCTGCAGAAGAGATCACCATGGTATAAATAGGGTTAGCACAAGTAGATGCCTCTGCAGATGGTTTGCGATTGACTAGTAGAAATTAAATGACAGGCTTTACTTGAACCATTCTGGTATACTAAGTTCCGAATACCATTAAATTTAAGGTCACACATCTGCAAGGCAAAAGCAAGTGGGTTTTAATTTAAGGTCAATCATCTGCCATGATAATACTTAACAAGGCATACATTGCATATATTCAACTAACAGTAATGCAAGTAGTGTAGAACAAGGCATACATTGCATATATTCAACTAAAAGTTCCAAAAATCTGTTCAGGTGTATGAACTCATACACCACCATCAATGAATCTGGGTTGCTGCTGCTGTGAATGAACATCATAGAGGCAAATATTACTCTGAACTGTGTAGATGAACATAACAGCTACATGAACTGCCGCAGGGACCAAACCAGGCAAACAAAGAAAAAATAACAGTAGTTCTCTGAACCTGAAAGTTGAACGAGCTGCTGCAGTTTAACTTTGAACACACGTCCTCATGGAGCTCCAAAAATAAACCTACAGGTTGAAAGATAATTGCGCTGCTGAAAGAGAAGCCCACCAGAAATAGCTACTAGAGAAAATCCAAACAAAAAGCACACGACTCAAGCTGTGCACTGGACAAACACGACACCTACTGCGGCACCGACCTCCTGCGCCATCCCTGGCACTGTCGCTGAACTGGTACACCATGGATCTAGCCTCTCTACCATGGCGCCTAACGGATCTGGCGTCCCCATTGACCAGGCGAAGCCGTCAAGATCCAGGCCATTGCAGCTCAGACCCGAATAGAAATAGACAAGGGATTGGGTATTTTCACACAGCACGAAGGGAGTGATGGACCTCTGGTGATGCTCGGCGTCCCGCTCAGTAGGAAGACGAGGGGCGGCGCCAGCCCCAGTCATCACGACGCGGCTGGCCCGGCGGCGGCGGCAGCACGGGTCGGGCGGCGCGGTGCTTGGGGGTCGGCGGCGCACATGGGAGGCTGAGGCACCGACGAAGCGGCTGGAAGGGGCGACGCCGGTAGCGGCCCAGCCGGAGGAGAGAGCAGGGAGAGGTGGGCGGCGTCACGAGAGAAGGGACCGGAGAGAGAGAGAGAGAGAGAGAGAGAGAGAGAGAGAGAGAGAGAGAGAGAGAGAGACGAGGGAGAGAGAGAGGCTTCGTGAGGAAGAAGACATCGGCTGGGGGAAAATGCACATCCTATCCTCATTTTCATTTTTTATCATCTTTTTTTCTTCTTTTCTTTTTTAATGGTATAAACTGTGATATCAATATATGTTATATCAATGTACGACACCGCTTGGAATTCAATAAGAGGCATAAATTACACCCATGATTTGTGACGATTATGTTTATCTATCAGTGACACTATTTAATCATCCATCACATATTTTTTATCTAAGATACAAAACGTCACAAAATAGAGCTTTTTATGATGGTTTCTTTTAACGTCACGTCTTAACCGTCATGTATAAGGGTATTTCTTGTAGTACGCCCAAACTGTAACACAAAATAATAGAAAATGCCGAACCAGAATTTTTTGATGATGCGATTTTATTCCTGGACGTTTATTTTTGAGTTAAATGCACTCTAGGTCCACAAACTTTTTTAGGGGTGCCAGATAGGTCCATAAACTTGAAAAATGCATTTGTGGACAGTAATCTTGAGTTTTGGTTCACTCTAGGTCCATGTTGCCAAATAAGCAGGTTTATGCTGATGTGGCGTGTCCAGGGTGGACTGAGCCTCCTAGCTGTGTCACGTGAGCGGCGCGTGATGCCACCATCCTCTTTGCCAATATACAGAAAGCCCCCACCACATCCTCCTTTTCCCCATTTGACCGAGCGTTTTGTTCTCGAGTTCATCGTGCGGGAGGCAAAGAGACAGGCGAGCGGGAGAGGCGACCGTGGAGTGAAATCGGCATCGCGATTGGAGTGTTGTGCGGCAACGATAGGTCGTTCTCCCCGCGGCGAGGGCAGTCTTCCTTGGCGATCCTGGTGGAAGTGCAGAATGAAGGCCAGAGTGCGGCGGAAAGGGGAGCCACCCCCTGATTACAGTAAGTGCCTCCAAGGTTCAATCTTGGTTGTGTTTCATAGTGTTTATCGCTGATTTGTTGAGAAGGATTCATGGATGGGGTCATATAGAAGCTTTTTTGCCTAGGCTAGGGTTTCTGACTTGGTTGTTGTAGGTCGAATTAGATGGATGGATGCCTAAATATGTTCTGTTGTTGTTCATGTAGGTGGAATTAGTGATCAGTTTACAGTTGAGATACATCACAATGGTTTCTTTGTTGGTCATGGTACGAATCGGTCATACATTGATGAGAGAGTGAGCTTTATCGATTATGTTTAAGCCCAAACTTTGTGTCCACAGACCTTTCATGACCTCAGTTTCATGCTTCACTATCCAAGGAATCCAGAATTGAAGGTGTTTTGGTTACTTCCTGGAAAGGATTTCCCAGATGGCATCAGGCTGATTGTTTCAGAAGAAGACACTTTAGTGATGGCTTCAGTTGTGCACAAAGTGAAGACACTTGTATTGTATTTTGATCATGAGGCCATTACATCAGGCTCAGATTGGGATGATGTAGTTGCAAACCCTGTTGCATCCTTGCCTAGAGTGATCAGCCCATCCAAAGGTCAGACAAGGCAGAGAAACAATGAGGCAGCAGATGACGAAGGCCCTGAAGATGCACATGACAGCTCAAGTGATGATAGTGATTTTGATGATAGTGATTATGACTTAGAGGATGATGATGACCTTGTTGTTGACAATGTTGATGAACATGTGACAGATGAAGGTGTTGCCAAAGGGAGGAAGATAGCTAAGGGAACCAAGAGGGCAGCATGAAGGACCAGTACTGGAACTTCAGTAGTTGCTCATGATGATGATGAAAATGAGGAGTCAACTTATGATGATAGGCTAGAATTACCTCAGTCTAATGGTGAATGTGAACCAGCATTCAAATTCAAGTCATTCAAACCAGAGGACATGGCCCACCCAGTGTTTAAGGTGGGTATGATGTTTGACACTATTGAGATGCTAAGGAAGGCTATAACTGAATACAGTCTTAGGAACAGAGTGGATATTAAGATTCCTAGGAATGAACAGAAAAGGCTTCAAGCTAACTGTTCAGAAGGATGTCCTTGGTTCCTTTATGCATCATATGATAAGAGGGCTAATGGCATGATGATCAAGACTTATACTGGGAAACACAGTTGCCAGAAGCAATGGGTCTTGAAGAGATGCACATCTACTTGGCTTGCTGAGAAATACATTGAGACATTCAGAGCAGACCAAAAAATGTCACTGTCCAACTTTTCTAGGACAGTGCAGAAGGAGTAGAATCTTACTCCATCAAGGACCAAGCTTGCTAGAGCTAGAAGGTTGGCTATGAAAAAGGTGCTGGGAGATGAAGAGGAACAATATCACATGCTTTGGGATTATGCACATGAGTTGAGGAAGACCAATCCTTACAGCACCTTCTACCTTAACCTAGATGGCAACATATTCAAGTCACTGTATGTGTCTCTGGGTGCTTGCAAAAGGGGATTTCTTAGAGGATGTAGACCTCTTATTTGTTTGGATGGGTGCCATTTGAAGACTAAGTATGGTGGTATAATGCTTACTACAGTTGGAATTGATCCTAATGATTGCATCTTCCCTATTGCTTTTGGTGTAGTTGAGGTGGAATGTTTAGATTCTTGGAGATGGTTCTTGACAACACTGAAGCAGGATTTAGGGATTGAGAACACATACCCCTAGACACTAATGACTGACAAGCAGAAGGTGAGGAATCTTCCATTCATTGTAGTCCAAGTTATGTTAAATCTATGAACTTATGACAACTGTGTGTGATTGTTGTATACTTATGACAATCTATGTACTTGAATTTTGCAGGGCCTAATTAAAGCTGTGGGTGAAGTATTTCCAGAGTCTGAGCATAGATTTTGTGTTAGACACATGTACTCCAACTTTCAACAGCACTTCAAAGGTGAGAACTTGAAAAAACAACTTTGGGCATGTGCAAGATCTAGTACTGTAGTTCAGTGGACAAAAAACATGGACAAACTTAGGGTGCTAGATGAGAAGGCTTATAAGTGGGTTGAGAAAATGCCCCCTAACACATGGTCTAGATCTTTTTTTAGTACTTACAGCAAGTGTGACATCCTATTGAATAACAGTTGTGAGGTTTTCAACAAATTCATCCTAGATGCTAGAGAAATGTCTGTGTTGAGTATGATAGAGCAAATTAAGAATCAATTGATGGCAAGGCACTACTCTAAGGAGAAAGAACATGGAGATATGTGGCAGGGTCCAATATGTCCCAAAATAAGGAAAAAGGTCAATAAGATTTCTGAGTGGGCAAACACATGTTATGCCATCCCTTCTGGTAAAGGAATCTTTTAGGTTCAAGATAGGGACCATAGTTACATAGTTGATATAGGACTCAAGAAATGTGAGTGCAGGAGATGGGATCTCACTGGAATGCCTTGCTCCCATGCCATCTCATGTCTTAGGCATGAAAGAATTCCTACAGAATCAATGGTCCATGACTGTTACAGTTATGCAAGGTTCCTTGTAGCATATGGTCCTAAGATCATGCCATGTAGTGATAAGACCACCTGGGAGAAGGTAACTACACCCAAGGTTCTACCTCCCAAGTATGAGAAAAAGGTGGGTAGGCCTTCAAAGAATAGAAGGAAACTACCAATAGAAATAGAAACTGCTACAGGAAGTAAACTGTCAAAACATGGAGTGGCTATGACATGCAGCTACTGTGGAGACAAAGGCCACAATAAGAAGGGCTGCCAGCTTAGGAAAGCAGGACTGATGCCCAAAAAACAGCCAGAGACCAATGCTGAAGATGAAGAAATAAGACAGTCAGATCAAGGGGAAGCAATGCCAAGTAATATGCATGAAGAAGACATGTATGATTATGCAAGGGCTCAGGTACTTGCAGTGCTACAAATTTGTCTCATTTCACTACCATGCAACAAATTTGTCTCATTTCACTGACATTATTCTGTTGCAGACTGTGTACCATTTTGTAGATGGGAGTCAGCCACCATGGTCTCATATTACAGAAGGAAGTGTAGAGGTAATAGAGACAATGATTTCACATCTGGACCAAGAGGTATGTACAGAACATCATGGCTGTCACTATTTTCCTTTGCATTTCACAACATGACTATAGAATTGTACTAGTACACACAGGTTGCAACATCAAGCGTCCAACCTCAACCTCTGCCTGACTCAACCTTCATCATGTCAAACCTGCCTGCTGCAAGACCTCTAGCACCATCTACTGCTACCAAGAAAGGAAGAGCTATAGTAGGAAAGCGCAAGGTGCCTATAAATCTCAAGGAGATACCTTAGGTTGCAAAGAAGCCAGGGAAGAAGACTACTCCAACAGAAAAAACTTGTGTGTAAATATGTGATGTAGCACCCAAAACAATGTGATGTAACACTTGGATGCTGATATCATTTTGGTACTAGAGTAACTTAGTGGAAGTCAGATTACTAGAGTAACTTAGTGGTGGTGGCACCGGTACACACAGGTGGTGATAGATGCTTTTGATTGACTGGTGGTGATACCAGTTACGCACAGATGACATGCTTTTGGTTCTGTAAGATGAAAGTGCTACTATTGGTGACTTGGTTGCCATGAATGCTGCTTGTGAACTTTTTCAATGCAATGTCAAGCTCAGTAGGTGTCAAATATTTCCTGTGTCCACAATGTCTGTTAAAATTGGTTCACATTGCCTGCCAAATATTTCTGTCAGCCTCAAAGATTACTGGGTTCACAATTTGTGTCAAATATTTCAAGATCAATGGCATGATACTAACTGCCATTCCATTGCATCATTATGGTTAACAAAAGTACAGACTAACAATTTACATGATG